CGCTGAAACACCTAAATCTTCTTAAAGGGGTAAAAAACTGATCTTTTTCAAATTATAAAATATGAAAATCAAAACACACATTAAAGGAAATGGAAGGAAGGTCTGGATCTTCCCAGTTGTAAAATAAAAAAACAGAAACTGAGCATTTTGATAAAATCCATAGCTCCCTAACTACTGGGGAGACAATAACATTTAAAAAGATAGTTTGCTTTTTTTTTTCCAGAGTTTACTGTGTGCCAAGCACTATGCATAACAACACATATACCTTTGCTCACTTCACTTTACAGCTGTTCTGAGCAGCAGGAAATATTACAATCTTCACATTACAGAAGAGGAAACTGAGGTTGAGATGTATTAAGTAACTTCCCATAGTGAGATATAAATTTGGAAGGCAAGAGTAGAGAAAAAGAACAAGCCCTTGAGAAGTCTTCCATGTTCCAGATGTTGGGAAACAAAGAAGAGTCCTGAGATATCAAGCAGGGGCAAACCAGGGGTTGGGGGCCTACTACATGGTCTTTACCCATCCTTGTTCCCTCCACATCCTGTCCAGTACAGAGTGCAGCCAAACACAGAAACAGAAATGAGATGGGCCAGACTCTCAATCTCCCCAGCTCCCTGAGATGGAGAAAGTAACCCCCTTCCACTGTCCATGTCACCAGAACTGTCAATAATGCCCACAGTCCTGTACAACCACCTCTGACCAGCAGAGCCTGATAATGTACAAATACAAACTAAAAGCAAGGAAAAGCTGCATCCTGTGATATCACTGGGTGTCTGGCCTGAGGGTTTCAGCCCCAGGCAAGTTCACTATGGATTCAGTGAGACCAAGAAGTGACAATGGAATGAGAAATGACAATGGAACATTCTTGAGGTAGAACAGTTTATACTGGCTTTTTTCTCATGGTGGTAGGTGGAGTACTAGGATCAGGTCTGCATCCAGCAGTCTGCAGGTCTGTAATCCTCCTTCATCTCTACCTCTGGGGCAGAGCTGTTTATATAGTGACTCAGTCAGTAATAGCTTATTGCCTATGGGTGTGGAAGCAGTAGCCTAGCAGTAGGCCAATTACATCATCAAGTAGTTTAGGGTCAGGTGAGGATCCTGGCCATAGGAACTTCCATTTTCCCCACACTGGGGAGAGAGGTAACCACAATAGGTTAGTGCTTTAGCTGCTGGCCAAGTTCTAGAGGATGAAGTTTGACCTTGATCTTCAGATTGTCCGTCCACCCATCACTAGCTGTTCCAACATTGAAATACTTCCATATGCCCCAAGAATCCCTGGGGACCCCCAGAACTCCCCATGTTTGGGTGAAAGAAAGGTTAGTGTCTGGCTGTGGTGCTACAGTGTCTTATGGACCCTGCTCCAGCTCCACACCCCACCTGTTGTCTGTTTTGTCAAGTTAATGCCTAAGTCAAAGCTTTTAACTACCACCCTAGAGCAACCACAGCCTCACCATGACATTGGAAGGTAACCAACAGCTTATGCAGGGCACTGCACTTCTGAGTGACATCTTCTAGTCCACATGGTAGTCGGGACAATGGGAGTGGTGATTAAGGCGCTTTAACCACTCAAGGAACAAGAGATAATCTCTTCACAATTCTAAATAGCCACAAACTCATCATTTTCAAATGTATCATCATGCTTTCAAATGGGCCATTGAGGGTCTGTTTTATGAGGTTGTCCATACTTCATCCAAAAGACAGAGAAGCAGGATGCTATAATATTTAAGTGAGATAAGATATTTGAAAGATTTTTGAAGCTATTTCCAGCTATTTACTTTTTATCTAAATAAGTGGACAAGCAGATGGGGACCCACCCTTGGGGCAGGGGGCAGCAAGTACCTCCCAAAGTCAGAGGCCACAACAGTCTCCTGCTCAAAGACATGAAGTCAAACTAGACAGCCTTTCAAAACTCTTCTCTCACTCCTTTTAATAGTCCCACTAGAAGCAGGCAAAAATGCTGAAAAATTTTCATGGCATGTAAGAAATTCAAAAGAATGTATGAATGTGAGTTAAGCCAGCCTGGGCATCAGAAACACTTCATAAAATAGCCCAGAAGATCCAAAATGATTGTTCATGATTATGTCATTGAGGTCTTTGTGCCTCTTATGCAGAAAAGTAACAATTGCATGAATTTCTCAAAATGCAAATACAGAGGTAAAATTTAACTCACAAACCAATGAAAACTTACACAAGCTAGTAAGAGTGTGCTCACCATCTTACCATACTTTCCAGGTTCTTTCACAAACCTTATCTCATTGGTTTCAAAGTGTGGCTCCCCAGACCAACAGCATCAGCATCACACAAGACCCACGTAGAAATGCAGATTCTTAGCCTCACTTCTGAACCTCTGAATGGCAAACAGGGTGGGACCTAGCAAGCTTCAAGTTACCAAGCCCTCCAGATATTTCTGATGAAGGCTTGAATATAGGAGGTACTGCTTTATCCATTTGGCTACCCCCAACAAGAGATGAAACAGGCAGGAAATGGAGCATTCTTACAGTTTTGCACAAGAGGCAGCAAAAATTCAGAGAGGTTAAGTGATTAACGAAACATCACACAGCTGACTGGCAAAAGAAACTAGCAAGTAAGGCCAGACTTTACAACTCAAGATCTAGGTCTCTTTTGTCTTCAGCACAGTCTCATTAAGATGCAATATAATTAGGCAGATCACCTAAACTCACTTGAATCTAGAAGGGCAAATGTGAACTAGGAAGAGGAGAGGGGTGGCACCTGGTGAGGACTCAGCAATGTAAGAAAGTCTGGATCCTTTTTAGTCCACAGATGATGGTGGAGACAGAAAGCCAAGGAACTTGGAGAAGAGTTCACCATATTCCAGGTAACTCGGCTCCTGAGTGCAGACTGGTTCTCCCCTATACAAAATATGAGATTCTACTGGCCCTCTCCTTACTGCGTACATCCTTCCTGTAGGGCTTCCCAGGAAAATCCCTGCCATAGTGCTCAGAGGAATTTTTTCTCACCTTTTTCCAGGTGATTTGACTATCGGCCTCTCCCTTACTCTCACAGCAACACTCATAATCTCTAAATCACTGGTGTTATTGATAATTTTTCACTTCCTCAGTCTAGCGTGTAAGGTCTATAACAGCAGGGATTTTGTTTACTTTCCTTACCAGATCCCAGGATCTAGTCCTAGGCCTGGCATTAGTAAGTGAGGAAGAAATACTTGTGACATAATGCGCGTAATAAAAATCATCTACCTGGATGTATCAAACTGTGTTTCCACAGAAGACCTTCCTTTTCAAAGTGGCACTGGATAGCTTCTTCCAAACAAGACATTCTGGAGAATTATTTAAAATCGAGTTTAAAATCTCTGTGAATAAATTCAGAGCTTATGCTAAAATACTTTTTTTTTTTTTTAATTCTGCAAAGTCTCCTTTCTCTTTCCTTCTGCCCTTGACTCTCCTCAGAAAATCCATCTAAACATTAGCTCTCTAGCCTAGGATCTCAGGATTGGCAAGACTGTTTTATTTGTTGTTGAACTGCATTTTCTTTTTTCGTTTCCTTTTGTTTTGTTTTGTTTTGTTTTGTTCTCCTTTGACACAAGCGAAGCATTTAATCTGTGTCTGAACTTACTGTTTAAATTCTATTCCATTTACAAAAACATTCGGTCACTAGACAGGCACAGGAAAAAAGTGTAAAGCCCACACTAGAAGGATAAAAGGACGCATGCTTATATCCTCCCATACAGCATTTAATAATTGGTATGAACTTTCAAGGAAGCTGTGGCTCATACTCCAAATTCTGATCACACTTCCAACTGGACAAAATAGACACAGATCCACTCCGCGAAATAATTGGATTCGTTACCTGGAATATTTAAATTGTTTTCAGACACTGGAAAATGGCTTAAGAAGATTAAAGAAAAATACCCTGGAGAATAACAGGCTATAATTTTCTAGGTGGAAAATCTGTTCAGCAAGAATGCCTCATTCTCCTCTAATTCCTCCTGTTTAAGAGATGCCTTCGACAGTTGGACCTAAATTTCCCTAGATCCTGATAGCTCAGGTTTATTCCAGTGGGTTGTTCTTTTCAAACCTTTCCGATGACACCCGGGACATAAAATTGATAGGCTTAGTGTCCTCAATCTGAAGATTCCCCTATTTTAGCAAGACATTAATTTAAGTGTTTGAAGGCAATCCGGGTGGGGGTTTACTTGAAGTCCTAGAGTCCAGGGCTCGTGTGAAACACTGGAGATCCGGGCTGGGCTAAGCTGGGCGCCACCTGGCAAAAGATGTTGGCAAGTTGTGGGGGAATGTCTTCACGTGTCTATTTTAATCTGAACACTCCTGCCCACTCAGTTCTCAAAAACTAGCCCTCCGCATTTGCCTGCAGGTTCACTGAGCCCTCCTCGACCCCTCAGTGCCCTCCTTCCGCTCTCTAGCCCTCCTCAGGTACGTCCACCCCAGCTTTCAAAGAGCCCCTCACTCCGGAGCCGGGCGCTGAAGTTTGGAATCGGCGACCACCTGTCGGCTGGGCCGCTGTATCCTCAGGCGCATGGGCTCCCGTGAAAGAGCTAAGAGGGTTAACAATCACTGGACATTTTCGGACTTCAGGGTTGTTCCTCCTTTAAACGGGGCAAAGGAGGTAACAGGGGGTGCGACTGCGGGAGGAGAGGGGCGCGTCTTGCTCACACCCCAGCGCTTTCCAGATGGTCCCAACTTCAAGCTCTCCCCACTTGCCAAACTCTCAGGACCCGCACCGGGCTAAGACTGCCCGTCGTGCTCCGCTGTCCCAAAAGACTTAAGACCCTCGAGGGGCGCTTGCCAGACTCGGCGAAGATGTCACCTCCGAAACCCCGAGACCACAGGAGCGCGCGCAAAGCCCCGGGCTTTGCTACCCGCCGCGGCAGCAGCCAACCTGTGCGCCCAGGCCGCCAGCCGCGCGCCGCGCGCCCATTGCATAACGCGCCCCTTGCCCCACCCCCACGCCGCCCGGCCCCTGGCCCCCGCCAGCGCCCCGACCCGGCCGCCCCGGGACTTACATCATCCCACTTGACGAATTTGGTGCCCTTCTTGAGGCTGTCCGACACGCACACGGGCTTGAGTTGCAAAGCGTGCACTCCGGGCTGAGCCCCGGCCATCTGGGCTCATCGGGGCTCCGGGCGGCCCGGGCGAGCGCGGCAGGGACGGGGCACCGGGCGCGGGCTCCTTTCTCTGCTCTGAAGGCTCTCGACTCTGTTCCCCCGCCGGCCTCCCCCGGCCTCCCGGCCTCCGCACCTCCTCCGGCGCGGCTCAGCAGGCGGGGCGCGAGGGGGCCAGGCGCCCGGCCATGCCCCGGGCGGGACGCGAGGTCGGGCGCCCGCGGTGGATGCGAAGCCTCGGAGGGCGAGGAGAAGCCGAGCCGGGCAGCCGAGGCTGCCAGCCGCCGCCGGATACCGCTCCTCAGCCGCCGCCGCCTCCGAGCGCACCATTCAGCACATCCTCTATACACAGAGGGAGAGAGCGAGTGACACACGCTCGGCGCCCCCCCCGCCCTGCTCCTTCCCCTCCTCCCTCCTCCTCCCGCCCCCCCTTCCCCGCCACCCTCGCTCGCTCGGTCCCTCCTTCCCCCGGCGGCTTCCAGCCCAACTTTGCGCGCTGGGTCAGGGCCGGGAAGCGGGGATGCAGCGGCACCTCCCGGCTCCTGGGCCCCACTGCAGCCGGCGCCTCCCGCGCGCCCTCTGAGCAGGCCCCACGCCCTGCCGCGCAGGGGGGCTGGGGCAGTCCAGCCGCCGGACGTTCCTTGGGGTTTTCTGGGGAACTTGAGCTGGAGCCTGGGAGTGGGCTTGCATCCAGACTAGGTGGGGAAAGGCAGCTATCGGGCGAGATCCGAGAGGCAACCACCGCTTTCCCCTCTAGCTGGAGCTCTCCAGCGCCGGCCACAAACCAGCTTTCTGAAAAGACAATTATTATTTATTAGTAGAGAAGAGATCCGTTGAGAGCTTGGAGCGAGAGCTCTTTGGGGAAACCTCGCCGCGCCTGAGAGTTTTCAACACGCTGGTCTTGAAGCGTGGGCATGCTATTAAGTTGTGCTTTTGAGAGAGAAAGCCTATCCTGAGAGCAACGACAGTTTATTTTATTTTATAGGCCCCCCACTCCTCTCCGTGTGGGATGAAGTGTGTGTGAGAGAGAGACAGAGAAAGTGGATGTCTTACCAATACCAGTTTAGTAACAAAGGTCTAAGAATGATTGTCTCCAGTCAACCAACATTTCTCAGGTCTTCAAAAAATTAGATATGAGCTACCCCCACCAGTATGGAAAAAATTTTAAGATGGATAATACCAGTGCTTAAGAGGATGTACAGCAACTGGAACTCTCAGCCGGTGCTGGACAGTGTAAAATAATAAGTAAAGCCACTTTGGAGAACAGTTTCTTATAAAGTTAAACATTGACTTTTCTTAAAATCCAGAACTTCCACTTCTAGGTATTTGCCCAAGAGATGTGAAAACACACGTTCACAAGACTTATGCAACAGTGTTCATAGCTTTCTTTGTAATAGCCGAAAAACACCATAACGGCAATCAGCAAATGAATGAATAAACAAACAGTGATATGCCCAAATAATAGAATGCTATTTGGTAATGGAAAGGAATGGCCTTTCATCATCTTGGATGAATCATACAGGTGTTAAGCCTAGTGAAAGAAGCTGAAAGCAGTAGACTCCTTATTGCATGATACCATTTGAGGAATTCTAGAATAGGCAAATCAGCCTATATTGACAGCAGTTCAGAGGTTGCCTGTGGCCAGGAATGGACAGGGACTGTCAGGGAAGGAGTACAGGGGAAATTCGGGGTGACGGGAATGTTCTATATTATGTATGTACACATTTGTTAAAACTCATACAACTGTACAGCTAAGATGAGTGCATTTTATTATAAGTAAATTACGTCTTACTAAGGCTGACTTTTCACAAGAAAAAGGAATATGAACAACGAGAGCATGAGGGAAACTCCTTTTCTTAAGTGTTTATTCTTCCTAACCTCTGCCCTCAGGCTTCCAAGGCTCAATGTTTATAAGCACAGTCAAAATATTACTAAAAATCAGATGGGATGATTTGCTATTAAATATTTCAGTGCATTCAAAAAACACATTTGATCCACCAGCTATATGCTAGGCAATATGATAATCACCACTGATAACCTGGTGACCACCACCCCTGACTCCTACTCTCTTTTGGAGACCTTGCCATATCCGTGGAAGCCATGTGCTACAAAGAATCTCTCTAAAAACTGACTTGTTTCATTTTGATCACATGACTCCAAACCAAAACCTGAGTATACTGTCAATAGACCTTCTAATCAGCAGCCTTGGCCTGCTAATTATCTTGCAAAAGGCACCAGTTATGTTCTCCCATTGCTTTCCTTTACTTAGAGGACTACAACAAAACTGGACCCTCAGGGGTCCCAGCCTTCTTAATTGTCCTTGCAACTGATCCTACCAGGGTTGTTCTTTTTTCTGTTGTGTCTCTTCTTTCCCCCTGCAATCCCTTGGTTATCTGCTAGAAAGATTATTGGTCAAATAGGTTTACCCCACCAGAGTGGCTTAGGAAAGCAAGACAGATAAGAGATGTGCCCTGTAGAAGGAGAATTTGGAGGACTTGAAATAGCTGTAACTAAATGGGAAGGTGGATCAAGCCTGATCATGGGGGCCCATTACATCATTGTTCTGTTTCATTTCCTTGCCCTTCTCTGCATCCACTATTTTGCCATGTGACCTGTAGTTTTCAACGAGACACATTATGTATTTGTCTGCCCCACTGATGTTGGCCAAAGTGACTTGCTTTGGCCAATGGAGTGGTAGAAGATGTGGAATGAGCAAAGGCTTGAAATATGCTTTGTGAGACTGGGCTCATCTCTTCAGATTCTTCTCATTGACATGAGATTAGCATATTTTAGGGAGTTACATAGGGCTGACCCAGACCCAATCTGCAAAGTGGAGACAAATCAAACCCACCCTAGATCTGCCAGAACCCAGCCAACCTGCAGACTTCAGAGCACTTGTGACTTACGACAATAAATGCTCATTGTTGAATGCCACTGAGCTGGGGTCATTTGTAACATACCATTGTTGTGGCAATAGATGGTTGAGTCATTCATCTGATATTCTTGATCCTTCCCAGCTGTTGCTGTGAATGTGAATGTAAGAAGGAGAATAAAGCTGTAGAAATCTGAACAGTGTTTGTCTTCAAGACAAATATGGGTTGTAGAAGCTTCCGCCGCCAGAACCACCGCCAGAAAAGGGATGCAGTTTGATCCAGGAACACTGCAGGATAAATGCCTCCAGTATGTAGGGTGAGGCTTGAGGCAGGTTGGTTCAACACCCTCCTCTTTTACTATTCTCTAGGAAAGATACAAGACAGAAACATTTTTAAAGTATGGGAATTTTTGCCATGCAAAGGGACCTGTAAGAACATCCAAAACTGTGTGAGCCAAGCCTGTGATCCATCAAGTTCAGTGCTCTGTTCTGGTTTTAAAACAATAGAGAGATCTGTTATTTGTGACAGCACAAAATTGCCCTCCAGGATGTCAGCCTCAGGGAGTTGGCAAAGCTAACCTTTATTGAGTATTCAGTATAAGCCTGAGCACTAAGCCAAGCACTTCCCAGACACTCAACATAACCCTTACTATTGGGCAGCACCTTCCCACCCTCTCTCTCTTGTAAGCAAACCCTGATTTGGTTTAGGTGGCAAAAGTACTTACAGATGGTGGCTCCTCCCTCTGCCCAGAGGACAAACTGTGATTGGTCTATGGATCTAAACCAATTATAGAATCCCATTTTTCTTTATCTAGGATTGGTTTAGGTGGTGGTTAAGGGACTGAAATCTGGCCAATGAATTAAGGGAGGCAGGGCTTTAAGGAAACATTTCTTTCTCTCTTTCTCTCTCATTCTTTTTTCTTCTTCTTTTTCTTATTGTTGTGTTTTTTTTTTTGTTTTGCTATGTAAAGAGGATAGCCAAGTAGAAAGATGCAAAGAGTCTGTCCTTTATGAGAGTGTTGATCCTTTGAGCCTTTTCTAAACTTCCTGATAAATGAGGTAATAAATGTTTTTATTGCTTAAGCCTTATTGTTACTCCCAGCTAATCCAGTGGGCAATATTATTTCCCCCATTTTACTAATTTTAAAACTGAATCTTGGAGATGTAAATTAACCTGCCCAAGATCACACAATTGGACCCAGGGACTGAGAGCTAGTAACTCTGACTTCAGAACTTGACTCTAGCCACCATGCTAAACAATTCTAGAACTTACAACTCAGATTTGAGCCATTTCTCCTGACTTTAAACCACATTATAATGAAGATATTCCTAATTCCTCTAGAGAAGTGATTGTGATATCTATCCATCTCCTATCAGTTCATCACTCATTTGAGGCCTGTCATCACGGGAAGGACGGGAAGGACAGGTGTTCTGATTTGAACATATTTTTCTAAAGGCCAGTTCTACCAATTACTAGCTATGTGCTATTGGAAAGTCTCTTACCCCTTCTGAAATATAATAGCCTAATATGTTCATGAGAATGAAAGCTCATTGCATGCCAGGCACTGTTCTAGGTTTTTATACTTTTAATGAATTAATCCTCATATTAATACCAGGAACTGGGTTACTATTATTATCTCCATTTTATGATGGAGGAAACTGAGTCAAGGAAGAGTTAAATGCTTGTCCAAGATTTACCAGCTAATTAGTAGAAAGACCAGAATTCAAACCCAGACAGTTGGTCATTTAATTGTTTAATTAATTGGCACATTTGATTACCATGCTACACTATACTGAAGAGTTATTGTGAAGATCAAATGAAATCCTCTGTGTAAGTCTCTGTTACATTGTAGTAATCAATAGTAGTTAATGCACTTACAATTATTTTTAAATTGTACTATATTGCCTTTATGTGCCCTAGAATGACTTTTTGTGTGCAGTATTCAAAAGCAGCATCCTAATTCTGTAATCTGTGATTCAGTCAACTTTTTTTGGCCTCCATTGATTCTATGAAGTTCAGTCATAGCCATTTTCATCTCTAACCTTCTAAAACTCAAAAGCTCTTTTCCATTATGAATAAATGAGTTCTAATTACATCTAAGCATCAGGGTTCCTCTATCTTTTTTGAAGTAACAAAGAGATATGGGGGAAAACTGCCCAGAGC